TCCCTCCTCCAACTACATTTTCACCCATTCTTCGAACAGAAACGGAGTTGACGCCTTTATAAGTCCAGCGTTATTGCTGCGCTGAATCAGGAAACTGTTGAGGTAAAGATAGTTCTGAAACTTATAGTACTTATAGTAACATTGTTTTTAATTCTGCTGTTGGCTTAAACCAAATTCTATTGAGAAAAGGGTCTGCTGATCTATGCACCATTATTGACATAATGCCACTACATCATGAAGAATTCTATTGAGTTTAATACTTAATCGAAATTTTATTTTGATGGGAGTGAAATTCGCCCTTTCCTGATTTTCCTGATGTTCAGGTTAGAAGAAAGAATGCATAGCACATGTTTAGATAGAGAATCATTTAACGATACACAATTTTCGAGCCACCGCAACTATTTCCCGTTCAATCTTTTAGTTACTGTCATGATTTATTTACTCAAGTTAATTGTATTTTGAATTTGCTGTTTAACGGCTGTTTATTCTTCACCTCGTGATGAGGCGATCCCTCCCCAANTATAAACTGGCGAATTCATCGAGGGGTCATCAGCTAATTGCAGAAGGCTTTTGTTGGAGTATTCTCGAGTTGATTCTAAATTCTTAGATTATGAATTTTCTCCAATACTCATGCCAGTCTGCTGAGGCGATGAGGGTTAGTGGGTGATGACTACCCCATACGGTTAACAAATGCCTTGGTGTTTGGAATGCTTTTTTCTGAAAGATCCCGTCTTATCAGATGGTGATAGATGGTTTTAGGGCTTTCTCACTTGAAAAGGTTGCTGTAAAATCGTTAAATTTGGTTTCATCGAGAATGATGCTTTACTTTTCGTGAACTGGAACAGATGTATTGTCGTCCGTGCTCGAAATACTGGAGGCACTGCTTTCCTGTGAATTCACCTGTTAAGGAATGCCATATTTACCTTCCCAAAATAAGATCTGTGGCAGTGATACTTTTTTTTGTCTGCAAAAAGTCGTAAAGAATTTTTCTAGTGCCATAGCAAGAATGGAGCCACGTTCAGCTNTTTTTTTGTCTGCAAAAAGTCGTAAAGAATTTTTCTAGTGCCATAGCAAGAATGGAGCCACGTTCAGCTGAGCATTCATAAACTACTGGGTTCGGTTTTGAGGGAGGTTCGAGGGGTGCTCACCTGTGGTGGCACTTTTTCCTGAATTTCCACATCAAGCGGCAGTGGCTCCGCAGCGACCACCTTATCCTTCCAATGGGAGCTTAGACATTCCCAGATATAGCGCGCCAGTGCGCGCGATCGGGTGCCGCGAGCGCGTTGCGATGTACGGGGAGAAATACCCACATCTATTTAAGACCGCCCTTTCCCCGCTCTCCTCTCCTCCTGGAATTATCCTTGTTCCATGTTTTCTCTTTCATTTCTTTCATTTTCATGAGTTCATTTGAGAAGTCTTCAGTAGAGTATTTTATCGGTTTTCATAATCCGTATATGTAGTAGTTCATCTGGAATGTAAGATTGTTGACGAATGTAAGATTTCAATTTTGTTACTTCTTCATGAGTTCTGTTAGGAAGGGGGTCAAATAATCAATGTTTTGACCTATCAGTAATCCATTGCAGAAATTGCGCGGGAAAGTAGCGTTGAGCGAAAGCCACGTGCCGATGCAGCCAGTCGACGTTTCGCAACCCCAACAACCAGTCCACCGCTCTTCCTTTAAGGAGAAACAACTCCGGTACGGAACCCCCTAGGTTCCCCTTCATTTGTTTTGGCTCATCTGTTTTTTTTTTTTNTTAAGGAGAAACAACTCCGGTACGGAACCCCCTAGGTTCCCCTTCATTTGTTTTGGCTCATCTGTTTTTTTTTTTGGAATCGACTATCGGTTCCTAATCTCTTGTTGTCAGAAATAGTTGTGTTGTTTCCTTCCGTATTTTTGAATCTACTCGATAACCATCTCTTTTGGAAATCTCCCAAAACACTACCTCCACAGTGTTGCCTATTGTTTGTTCTTTTTTTGTGGTGCGACAATTCTTTTGGTTATTTGCGAGTTGCCACTCAGGAGTTCTGATAATTTGTATGTGTAGCCCGAAATGCAATAAAAAAGTTACATGATGGAATTTTGATATTGATCGACTAATCGGTTGATATCCACGTGACTACTTTGGACCGAACTCCCTGAAAATAGCGGGCAGTGCCTACTGTTCATTTGAGAGTAAGGTCCAATATGATAATGAACCAGGTAGATCATCTATTTAAACTCCCCTCCCCGAAGCTGAACCGTCGTCCCTAAGTTCATCAAAGGTGAATAAACGTGGTGAGAAAGGGCGGCCTATATTTCACGATCTTCTGTTTGATTCGACGTAACATGCGCCAACTCTAGGAGAGGGGTCCTTGTAGATGTGAAGCAATGCAGTGGGAGTGAGATAGCATCCATAGACAACTGGTTGATGTAAGCTGGCGTAGGAACTTTGTGAAACGGATGTAACTCGAACGAACTTGAGTGGGTTTTGTTTTGTTTATATCTTCTACTCAGTGGGGTTCTCAGCTATGCGATCCTACAGATGTGGGTGTTTTCATGAGAATAAGAAGTAGAACAAGTAGTTCATACTGGCTTACCGTTTCTGTTCTTGACTAATTTTCCAAAAAAGCTATGGACGTAAAGCTATGGACGTTTACGAAAGATTGGATGTGTTTTCAAGCGATTTTTCGAGATAAATCACTTTGAAGAGTGTAACGTGAGCTTTGGGCTATGATCGGCTTTCTATTGACCATGCTATTGAGTTAATTTGATTGTTGCAATTTCAGGCCAGCGCTCGGAAATCTAGCTAGTCCTATGGGGACGAGGCTTGATTACCTCTGTTCTCAGGCTCCTGCCGAGGTGACAAGGTTGAGAGGCCGGAACACAATAAGCCAGAGCATCCCTTACTGGTTAGTGTCAACTTACGCCATGGTAGAATAAAAAGTATAAACTCTCGGGGCGCTGATCAATTCCTTCTGAAGGATGCGCCAACGCATTCGACTTCCATTCAGATTCGTAGTGGCGTGCTGAATGAATATGTGGCCAATACAATGACTTGCGGTGGTCAGCCAATGTACAAGTCAGTGTTTTTATCCTCCCAGACGAGCTTGCTACCGATTAACCGACCCCGGAGGGATGGAAAGCCTGGTTGGCCTAGGCGGATATCGATCGAAGACTCGAACCCACGACCGTGCGTGTGATATAGTGTGCCACTTGCCACTGCACCCCCTCTAGGCTAACGAGAAGGAAGCCGTAGACAAATATCTGTCAAGATGAAAGGGGAGGGCCATTCGTACATGGGTATGCTGTAGTCTGAAAGGACCTAGGGAGTGAACATTTCGACGCAACCTCCTAACTGCTGGACTGTTTTCATACCCCACCGTTCTGGATGGCTTCTCATACAACTCTAGGCAGCAGCGATTCCGTTTGGCATGTACCGGAGGCTCAAGGTAGTGGAGTTATTCTGCTTTGAGCTATTCCTATCCAGTCCCTCACTTATTGAGAGAGGAGGGGTGCATTCAGAAACATGCAGGCGATATACTAAAACACCTGTTAGCAGTGTGACAACATGTCTCTGCAACCGATTCGCAAACATGCATCAATATTGTTGCTGTTCAACAAAAGCCCACCCGAAGGAAAAGTTGAAAAAGGCCCGTTCAGCTACACAAAAACACAAATAAGTACTTTGTTAAGAAGTTTTATCCGAGAAAGTCAATGCAATAATTGATTGATACTCTCTTATAAGGCCTCGATGCATAATATTAGAATTTTCAGGAAACAAATATAATTGATACAAACGACCGACAAAACGACAATTCAGATTTCGCTGATGAGATCGGCGAGCAGTTGCCGGGGGTGGCGGCGGT